TAACTTCCAGGACTTTACCTAGTAGTAAGTTGGAACCCAGTTGTTAGTTGATTGGCGGATTGCTTTTCCAGGGGTAATAATTCCTTCAAAATAATAAGAATAATAATTTGGTCTCTCAATCCACGACTGTTTGTGGGACACTGCTGTGCGCAATTGGCTTTACAGTGTACTCTGTGAAGCTCTTTGAGACATCTCGAAGACGTGATAAGGCGCTATATCAAATGCAAGGATTATTACTATTATAACAAATACACACACAATGCGCAGGAAGTGATATCATTGGCAACCTTATAACCTAGAAAGTAGCCATTTTTCACTCTTGCTTATAACAGATTGGACCCAAAGAACACTATTTTAATGAGATTGTTTGCAGTCAGCAATATATTGAAATGGATAAGGAAGAGGGGGAGGAGGAGGAGGAGGTGGAGGAGGAAGTAAAGGAGGAGAATTGAGACTAAATTAATTAAATTTCAACCGAGCTGCGTGATCTGCTTCTGTGCCATAACATTCTATGTAATATGCTTTCCTGTATATGAAATAAGTGCTTGCCCACTGTTGTAAAATACATCTTGAACAGGTCACAAATGATTCATTTTTTCTTCCTATAGAATAAAACATAGCATCTTGTACAAACTGAAAAACCAATTTTATTCTTTAAAAAAAAGTTTCTTATTAAAATTACATGTGTAACGTTTTGTGGACACTTGCCTGTTTATATCCACATAAACACCCAAATGTGTAATTTCAAATTCATCCAATATAAAAAGGAATCAAGGTTATTTACTGTTTGGTAGACTTACCAACTTTTGCAATGTGCACATTTCATGGGAATTTTCCAATATACTCATACACAGGTAAACCAGGTTTAGCAACCATTGGCAAATAATATACATTTGCCACTGAGGAACAATAAACTAACCAACAAGCAGAAAATTGCCCTCAATGAGTCTGATAGGAAAAACTCATTATGTTTTGTCATTTTTAAATGAATGAGAATAACAAGAACAGATTGTTTACACACACATTATCCAACACCTTCACAGTTCCTGCTATGCCTGTTTCTTAAACAAAATGTTGACTTGAGAGCCGTTTCAATAAAGGAATCTTAAAATACTACTGGTGTCCCATTCTGCAACCTCATGACCCAGTCCTCAGCTATTTTAGCTTCCCTATGTTGGCCAGTGTTTCTTTTTTCTACGTACATGTGATGAAGTGGTGATGGAGCCAGCCCGCGCTTTTGGCTATTTACCCTCCATCATGTGGAGATTGAAGCACATGATACATTATTAAAAAAAAACTAGATAAAACTATTCTTTTAGGATCAAGCTCAAAGTTATTATAGAAATGTATTTCTATCAATGTTTATGGTTTAAGACTTGCATATTTTTAAAAAAGTACCATTGCTGCTACAGAAACACTGAACAACTTGACCTGGTAAAATGATTCACTTGGAATATGGAACGCAGCAGTTTAAACCTGTATGACTCTGATGATTGTACTGTGAGTGTGTAAATAGATAACACTAGAAAATGAAAGCCCTAGCTTTACTCATTCTCATTCTTTGAATTAAACTTCGCAAATATTAATTAGACTCCATGGTTATCCTATCACATTTGCAGTTACTTCAATCTAACATTGAATTCCATAGCTTACAAGCAAACGTTTTTTGTGCAGCTGTTCTGAAGAGGCATCACGTGGTCTGGTGAATGGTGACAATGTGCTCATGCATTGTATGCTTAGTTGTGCTGCTCGCAGGGTGTGGCGAGGGCTCAACCTGTACTTTTCAGCTGCTAATGACCAACTAGTAACTAATCCGTTGTGACACGTAGATAATTTTTATGTTCTAGTTTTGTGTATGTTGCAAATTAAACACCATACATTTTAAAAGTTAAAGAAACACACTTTAAATTAGGCCAGGGTATTCTCTGAGTCCGAATGTTGTGGGTTCAACTCACACATAGGGACTTTGAACTCTCAGTCTAGGCTGCCACTCAATACACTGGAAGGATGTACTACGTTGTTTGAGATGCCATCCTTCGGGTGAGACATTAAATCGAGTTTGCTAAAGATCCTATGGTACTAATCAAAAAANCAAAGAAGTTTCTCCTGGTGTCCTGGCCAAAAGGCCCCCAGATAAAATTGGACATTTATTTCAACAACAACAAACATTGCATTTATATAGCACCTTTCAATTAGTAGGCCGCTGAACAGGGTTTGCACCCAAGCTGCGGGTTGGGATCAAAGAAGGATGGACAGCAAAGGGGGTGGAGGAGGGAAAATGACCGAAGGCATGATTGAAAAGGAAGGTCTTGAGACCTGCCGTGAAGGAGGCAAGGGAGATAAAATATTTATTTAAATTAATATTTAAATATTTTATGGAATAAATATGCATTAAAATATTTAAATTAAATAAATATTGCATGACTATATAAAATATTGTATAATTATTCAAACATAATATTTATTGCATTAATAAAATTGATTAAATAAATATTTCAGGGCTATTGCTGTTTACAAATTGGTACCATGTTTGCCTATACATACACCGTCACTATATTTGAAAGTAAATCCTGAAAAATGATTTGAGACATCCTCCCAAAGTGAAAAGCCTTATATCAAATGCAAGGATTATTTTTATTTTTTGTATTCTTTGACAATGGATAATGGCACTAAATTTAATAGCCATAGATCCTCACCCTGTACCTCATAGCAATTTTTTTTTATTGACTAAACACTAAAATAGATGAGGTACAAAAACATTTGAAAAAATGACGTTGTGACAAATGCACATTGATCTTTTGCCTGTGGAATAATGAAGATTTTTAAGAGGTTCACATAACATATTTTTATCTCTGATCAGACTTTAAAATTTTCAGTAGGATGGGCAGATGATGCATATTAATTCTGAAGCATAGAAATTGGTGAATTATAGTCCCTCAATTTGTTCTCATTTAAAATCATGCAGTAAAACCCTCAACAATATATTCAGCTCCATTTGGTGATTGTTTTTGTGTTGAATGTGATAAGGTCAGTGCTGAGAAATTCAGGATGTCTTCGCTTGCTGCCCACATAAAGCACGCTCAGGTCAGGTATATGGCAAGATGATTATATGCTGACTAAAAACTCTTTTATATACTGCTCCGTTAATGCATCTTAATCCCAATAAGGAAGACCTCCTACTGTAGTGTGACATTAGATTTTCCACACCAGCCATCCTTGTAGCCTCACTGACTGACATATGCAAGGCAGTATTAATTAATACTAAATTATGGCTTTGTGCTGTAGACTCACCAGGATCTGAGCTGAAGTTGCCTAAATTCATTTCACTTAGGAACTTTACAACTAGAAGGAAGAGGAGTTTATGCCCCAATAATCTGGCATGGACTGAAACTAAAAGCCTAGAGGTTGAAGAGCAGTAGTTAATACACTGCAACAATCAATTTCCAATTAAACATATGTTCTCACTCCATTTTCATAAATAATAGTTTATATTTTTGACAACTCTTCTGTTAGTCTTCATATACAATGTACCACCAAAACCTAGAGGTTTCCTGAACACTAAACTGCATTTAAACTATGTTATCATCATTCATTAAGAGGTATATATAATATATTATATATATACCTAAATAAGACAGTTGAGAACAATAACTTAGTGGGTTGAGTAATATAAATGCAAACCCATGACCTCACTGCACAATATATAAACAAGGTTTGTTGGGCACTAAACTAAACGGTTTGGCACAGAATCGATAACATCTTTTAAACGGGAATTAGACAAATATTTGAAAAAGCGATGTTACATGGTATGCGGAAACTGTACGAAAGTGAGACTCAATTAGTAGCGCTTTCAAAGAGTTGGCATAGAAACAATGGGCTGTAAATTCTATGACGTTCTACAATGTAGCACACTAAGTAAATTAGCAACATAAATTTATCACAAGATCATGATGAGTTCAAATAATGAAGGCCATTTTTGTCCCATGTGATCTCGTCCTTCTGGTAAACCTAACCCCACTGTTCTCCCATCACATCATCAAGCTGTTCTTAAATGACTCCAGTGTTTTGGCCGGAGCCACTCTTTCTGGCAACCTGTTCCAGTTGTTAATTTTCCTTAGGATAAAGAAAAACTTCCTGGTTTATGTCCTGAAATTTGCAACTCTAAACCTGCAGTTTCAGGCAAGGGTAGATCATTGGTCCATGTAGTCTATCCACCCAACTCCTCAAAAGATTCCTTCAATACATCTGTCTCATCAGCTAACAACCCTGAAGTTTTATAATTTCCAGGAACTTCAGAAAACATAACTTGATTGTGATTTATTTTCCTAGTAGTTATTCCAGCCCTTTCTCCATTTCAATGGTGTGGTGGATGGCAGTTTATCCAAATTTTAATTTCACTATTATTGTATTGTGTGTACATCAGGTTAAAATAATTTATTGGGAAGTAAAATTGGGAGCAATTGTAAATTAACCTTTTTTTAATGCTTTTATGCCCAGATATTTTAAAGCAGGTGCAGCTTTCTTGTTGTTAGTTTCTCATTAAAAGTGATCCAAAATAGTATTATTTTACAACGGACATCATAATGTCGAGAAGTCATCTGGAGATTATTTGGGGTCAGAGGAAATTGCAGTGTGATGAATTTTCTCATTAGAATTGTCACCATTTGCATTTTCGTGATTGGAAGCAAATCATTCATACCTTTCATCATCGATCACCTTTACGTTGTGACTGCTTCCTCTAAGCAGTGACAGCCACACTTAACAGCTTTAAGAACTGATTTCTTTTGTTGCATTATAAATTATGTCCAAACACAAAACTGTACAAAATTGCTTAAAAAGTGCAAGTATTTAAAATACTTTAAATACCATCACAAACAGTTATAAGTACTGTAGAAGTAGTGAAAATTATTATTAAATGTTTTTTAAGACAATTTACATACATAGTGTACATATGATGATGTGCATATGAACACAGTAAAAATTGAACAGCTAATACTTACATAAGGGACAGTTTCCAGTGCTTCTGTATTTACAATAACAGGAGCTGGGCTTGCCTGTAAAAGAAAACCAAATTATTTTAAAAGAAATCATACTTCTAAATCATAATCGGTTGTAGTTGAGTTGAGCTGTATATCTGTCTATATTCATACATAAATGAAAATGAAATTAACTTAACATAAACCACTCATTTATAATCGTAAAGTAAGCACAAAATAAATCTTTAATAATGGAACTAGAGTTAAGTTTAGAAATGTATATGGCAGATATATCACATATAGCATTGGTTCTAGATTATAAGTGATACTACACCTAAATAAATTGTCAGAATGACAATGGCACTCTTTAGCACTGATGATTTCAGTTCTGCACTTATGTACACTGGATGTTGCCATCTCCAATATTTCACATAAGTGTATTAGCAAAAATGGCTGGTATGACTGGAACCCAAGTAAATATTAGAGTCATGACTAATCCTATATTTACCTCAAAGCAGACTGTACTGCAGAAATCAACTCCTAAGAGATCAAGTCTTGCTTAAGATTTAAAATAAACACAATCCTACATCATTAGTTGTAACTATAAACCAAGGCCCTAAAAGCTTTATTGTTTTGGAATACCTGTGCACTAAATTGCAATCTAAGGAGTTTCTGAGCATTTTCAATGCTGTGGTGATAGATTTTTTGACACCAAATGATTGAATTTTAACACTTTACGCTCCATTAAATTCCTTTTACTGCTATTCCTGAACTGATACCACACTGCACGCTAAACTGATAGTGCAGCCCAACTTCCGGATAGCTCATTGACAAGGCCGAAAGTCAACTGTTTTAAAGAGATATGTGCCGGACAAGAGTTCCCTTAAAGGCCTGACACGAACTGCTGACAACTGTTCATATATTGATCTAATTGGGTTAGAGTTAATTTTTGTTTTGCAAAATCCATTTACAATTCTTGTACAGTTGTTTAAATAGAACGACAATGCTGGTGAACCACAATCTCTGATACTGATGACCCGAATACAGATGCTGGAAGCATTTTTATTATGTCTACTGTATAGGATCAGCAAGGGAGAGAAGTAACAATGTGAACTTGTAAAAGAAAAACACAATGTCAAAATGTTTTTACTTTTTATTATTACATTCAATCTTAGAGAATCTACTCAGCTCAAACATGTCTTAATGGAAAGCAAATGACAAGCAAAAAAAAAGGCCCATTATTTCTGGATTAGAACCTGCAGTTTAAAATAGAAGAACACGTGAATACTAATTAAAAATAGAACTTGGAGCTCAATACACTCAGTACAGACACTGTAATTATAGAAGGCAACTTGAGCAAAGTGTGACTTTGACTGAGACCTATCAACATGAAGATTTTTAAACTAAAATAAAAGATGTTTGCCCCATTAATTTACTTTGTATTCTGGTACACAATTTGCATGTGGTTAAATTGGAATCTGAATTGATGGATTGCATTTCACTTCTCAGATTGTGCTGCGAAAATTACTTACACAGCTGCTGATCTGAAGCACCCAACAACACAAACTTTAACCTAAAACTACCTAATGATAACCAAATTAGGTTCTTTCTATTGCCACTTTTGTAAAAACTAGCCACTTCTTGAAATTGATGCAAAGGTTCATTACAAAATTTTAACATCTTACTGATTTAACATACCTTATACTCTACTTCATACTGAGGTCACTCAAGCAAGACTTTTATTAAATACAAAAGAAGATAATCAACAATTTATTTTGATTCATTGGCATCTAAAATGTGCTCCAGTAGCCTCATTACTGCATGGTCACCAGCAAATGAGTCCAAAAGGCATTTTCTCTGGGACATCCCCTACACGCAATCTTGTGAGACATCAATGGATTGCTTGTAGAAAACTGTTTTTACAAAAGCAATTTTGCCAAAAGCCTCAGAAGTAATGCCATTAGATACAAATGTTCCTAGAAAAATCTTGTCTGAGTGAGAAAACAACGAAAATGCTCAAATGATAACAACTGCACTTAATGTTAACGGTACATTACAAACACGTAAGAGAAAGCAGACTTTGGTGAGATGAGGAAAGAAAAATAGTTCTTAAATGGGACTTCATCATTATTTCAAATGTGAATGGAGAGATGGTAGATTTCAGGGTAAAAAAAAAACAGTGAACGTCAGAACATATTGAAACACACTGGACAGCGACAGAAACGTCTACAAAGAAATATTAGTTCATCCACAACACCTCAAAGAATTCAGTTCCACAAGGTGGAAGTTGATAGATTTTATCAACCTTGCCATTTCTGAAGTTTCGTAACAATTGGTGAAAGTCGAGGGAGTAAAGGTCTGAAATGTAACAGAGTAATCACATCTCAAACATGACTTCCCAGCAGGGCAAAACCTTGGGCAAGTTTTCATACTCCACACGCCTGATAATAATCCCACAAGAAAAAAAAATAATTTGGTCACGCAATCCACACCTTGTGGGCCACTGCTGTGTGCAATTGGCTACTGCCTTTCACCCACAAAATAAACAGTCAATGCACTTTACATAATATTGTGTGAAGCGCTTTGAGATGTCTAGAAGATGTGAAAAGCGCTATATCAAATGCAACATTACATTTATTATTATGTAGGAATATTGTTGGTAGCATTAAGAATCTGGTGCGCTAGCCTGGCTCAGTTGGCAGCACACTTCACTTGTTTCTGAGTTAGAAGCCTGTGGGTTTAAGCCCTGTGTTGATACTTGAACTCACATAGTCTTAGCTGCCACTCCAGTGCTGGGGGATGTTGCATTGTCAGAGGTGGCGTCCTTCAGATGAAACGTTAAACCAAGATTCTGTCTGTCTGTTCAAGTCGGAATTAAAAATACCATAGCTTTATTTGAAAAGAGAAGGCTGTTTCTCCCAATGTCCTCGCCAACAATTCCCCCACAAAAATTATTTGTTTCATGGCTGTTAGTGGGACATTATTGCGTGCAATTGGGCTGCCATGTTTGCTAACAAATACACACAAAGTCACTCCACTATAAATCTTGTGAAGAGTACTACACAAAATGCGTGGGTTACTATTGCTACTAACGTATTCAATATATTCTCTCCCTTTCAATACAACTGTTCATATACTCTCCTTTTATTATTTCCTTGGAAGTTATAAAAAATTCATGTCCTAGCAACAGTTGCTTATAAGTAATGCATTGCAATGTAATGCTGGCATCTCTGGGGAGTTAGCTGACCGTTAAGGAGCAAATTGACTTGGATTTCTTCATAGTCCTGAGTTACTCCTGGGGATGGGGGAGCTGAACTGGCTCCAAGATGACGTGCTTGGCAATGGTTTGTTAGAATTGAGTCAACCTTCTGTGGCAGTCTCGGTAATCTGATTCCTGAGTCTGTAAGTGCTCCAGGGCATTGGTGATACAGACTAACCAGCCTAGATCATCAGCAGAACTTTGAGGGGCAGACCAATCACTGAGAGCAGGGAATCTTCCCACTCAATTCCTGGTAACCCTGCAAGTGGAAGTCTTAACAGGTTGGAAGGTCCTAGCCGAACATGCAGGACCTTGCCAAACAGTGCTCCCAATGGCAAACAAAGTACTTTTAGTTGGTTAGGATCAGTACCCCAACTCACATTATGGAATCAACAAGCCTTAGCTCTTGTCAACTTGCCCAATATTCTCCAGAATTTGAAAAGCAGGGTGCACCCCTCCAAGTGTCCACTCCATTCCAGCCACAGGGCACTGTTTATGTGTAGGTGACATATATATGTGAACTCGCAATCTGGTCTGGATACTCTTAAGCATGATGATAGGTTTACACGTATGTCAGACACCTGATTGACTAAACAAGAAAACAAGAACAACAAGAATCTAAGTTGAATGAGATTGACATGCTGACATTTTTATTTGTGTGTGTGCATGTGAGGGGAGGAGAGAGGGTACTGAAAAAGTATCAGAGAAGAAACATATAAAGTGTGTTATACATGGTGTCTCTCCACAAACTCCATTTGTATGGCATCCTTGTGGGAAGAGAGAATAACTATTTGTGGTCATTCTAAAATGTAGTATATTGTTCTAGTCTTTCTTTGATAATGTGTTAATTGCTAACTTCATTGATTGTTGTGTTGAATCTGCCTTAGGAACATAGGAACAGGAGTCGGCCATTCAGCCCTTCAAGCCTGTTCCACCATTTAATTAGATCATGGCTGATCTGTACCTCAACTAAGCCTTTCAATTCCAATTTCCCGCTTTCACCCCATATCCCTTAATACCGACCTACCAAAAATCTATCAACTTCACTCTTGAAGGTGTGGGTGGATCCAGCATCCATAGCTTTTTGGGGGAGAGAATTACAGATTTCTACCACCCTTTGAGTGAAACAATGCTTCCTGATTTCACTCTTAAATGGCCTGATTCTAATTTTAAGACTATGCCCCCTTGTTTTGGATTCCCCCACCAGAGGAAATAGCTTCTCCATATCTACCCTATTGAATCCCTTTATCATCTTAAATAATCAATCAAATCACCCCTTAACTCAAAGGAATACAATCCAAGTTTATGCAGCCTTTCCTCGTAACTTAACCCTTTTAGACCTGGTAGCATTCTGGTGAACCTGCGCTGCAATCTTTCCAAGGCCAATATATCTCTCCTGAGGTGTGGTGCCCAAAATTGACCGCAGTACTCCAGATGGGGTCTGACTAACGCTGTGTACAGCTGAAGCATCATTTCTTCCCCTTTGTATTCCAGGCCCTGAGATAAAGGACAACATTCCATTCACCTTTTTGATTACTTTTTGGACCCGTGAGCTTGTTTTTAGTGATTTGTGGATATGGACACCCAAACCTCCTCCACAGTTCCTTATTTCTCCCCGTTAAGAGATATTCTGCTTCATCTTTTTTCGGTCCATAATGGATTACCTTGCACTTCCCTACACTGAACTCTGTGAAGTGAATTGACTGTATAACCCACTCACTTAATCTGTCTAAGTCCCTTTGTAACTTCCTACTCCCATCTACACAACTTACTGAGCTTTCTAGCTTAGTGTCGTCTGCAAACTTAGATATAAAACTTT